CAAAGTGACTTATGCCACTTTCAAAATAAACGGCTCATATGTCACTGAATAATAGATGGCACCAAGCAGTAACATTCTCAAATGACAGGAAAAAGGATGATTATATTAAGTCTATCGAAAAGTTCTGTCCGATAGTGTCACTTCAAGTTTCAATCCATGTGCATATGATGATTTGAGACATATATGACTATCTCTCTTTACCATTGCATTTGAAACAAAGATGTCTCATGTCATTATTAAGTGAGACGCGATCGTGAAAACATGGCTACCGATGATAATGCCAGACCACATGCTGCTTTGGCGACTCGTCAGAAAATCGCAGAGCTAGGCTAGGAAATTCTGTCACATCCACCATACTCTCCAGACCTAGCACCCTCCGATTATCACTTGTTTCTCTCTTTGCAAAACTTTTTACAGAAAAAAAATTCAAAACTGAAGCTGATGTCAACCAAGCACTGGTTGAGTTCTTCGCCTCTAAAAATAAATCATTTTTTAAAAATGTCATTTACAAGTTGTCATCGCGCTGGCAAGAAGTCATAAGTAACGATGGAAAGTATAGTCTACAATAAATATTATTAAATGTATGAAAATTGTGTTATATTTCAATTCAAAAACGGACAGAACTTTCCGGTAGACCTAATATTTACTTTAAACGACCAAAGGCAAACGACGACAGACGTTTCCAGTCGCCATCAATGCGCACAATACAAATTAGTGGTGGCATGTCCTGGGGATCCATTGCAGCTTGCACGTGGACCGAAAATGTAGGCGAATGGACCGCTCGTTAAGAAGCACCCCTGCGAAGCGGTGGTTTCTCGGTGAGTTTACGAAATCGTCGGAACGAAGATTACGGTCGGGACACAATAAGAAGGATCGTACTACCGATCGACAATGAGACCGTCTCGTTTGTCGACTGCCATCGTCGGTATGGCGGAAATGCAAGGCAGCAGATTTATTGCAGGGCAAACAACGTCGCACAATGATCAGTCAATTTGTCCGAAGACATGGCTAACATTTAAAGGCGTCCTAGTTCGTGGAACTCAAATAATGTTACTAGTACACATTTTTCGTTGATTCTGATGATCTTTGAACTTCAAATTAGAATATGTTCGAAAGAACTGCCGTCAAAATATTCGAACTAACAAGGCATTACGCGCGAATGGCCCATATTACAGTAATTTCTCCCTAATTGACGCTCAGATTGTGCACAAAAATGGACAATTTCGGAAGAGAAGATACGATTATTCGAGCCTTGCGGCTCATTTTTATAGTTACCGATTATCAAAGACTATAAAAACGAGCCGCAAGGCTCAAATAATTAATCATTTCTTGTTCCCAATTTGTCCATTTTTGTGCATAATGTGAGCGTCAATTAGGGAGAATTCGCGTGTAATGCTTTGTTAGTTAATATTTTGACGGCAGTTCTTTTGAACATATTCCAATTCGAAGTTCAAAGATCATCAGAATCAACGAAAAATAATACTCTACAATTTTCATCGATAATGATGACATTGATTATTTTGGAATATGTATACTTGAGAACAATGTTTGCTAGCATAATATTTCTCCCTTTTCGCCACAATGATGGACACACCCCATGGACATTTAAAGTAATTGTAGTAAGAATCGTGTAACTATATATATACATATATATATTCTGCAACTATTTATTTATTGATAGAATGACTCACACTCAATGTCGACCGCACCGTATCGTTAGATTAAAAGTGATGAACGTACTCCAAAATAGAGTAATTTTCATTTTAATTACTTTCATTTTCTAATCAATTATTTTGTAAAGTTCACTGTCACATTTTAGTTTCGACTGATTTGTTATAAATCATGTAATATTTTGTTGTTTTTAGTTTGTACATAATAGAAGACGGTCGAAACGAAGCAATTGGATTTTGGATGAATTGAAAATTCATCTATTTCGTACTTCATTTCTTACACATTTCAATTAATCTATTTCGTATTTCATTTCACACCTTCAATTTTAAACAATTGTGCGGCCGATTTTGAATGTGAGTCACTTGTACAAAGCTATAAGATCTTTAAATGTCCACGGGAAACTTCAAAAATTAGAAATTATGCTTTCCTGCAAGTTTACAGGAAGCGTAAAAAAAAGAAAGATACTAAAATTGTACAGACACTAAGCTAAAGAGTATGCTTCCTGACGTGCTTAGCCTTGCGAATCGATCAATTTAGAAGCATAAATAGTCATTATCATTCTTTCCAAATGCTGCAGTTTTGGTGAAAATGCCCGACTCGGGTCAAAAGTGACCTAATGCAGGGCTGCTGCGCGAGTTAACAACAGAGATCAACGTTGGTCAGGCACGGTTAGCATAACGTCGACGTCGGAAGAAAAATCAGTCGAAACCCTGTATTAGGCAGCTGCGATGAACAATTGGAGCGAGCGGAGGCGGGAAGGGTTGCATTCGTTTGATCCATGGTCGACGCCGATTTTCGTGGGCGCGTGCAACCACATCCTGTGCAATTTTTGTCACGCTCGCCACGCTCTTTCTCCGCTCGTCTCTTTCCGGACTCTCTCTCTCTCTCTCTCTCTCGCTCTCTCTCTCTCTCTCTCTCTCTCTCTCACCGGGCTATTAATTGGAATCGCAACCACCCACGAGCCACGAAAATCAGGGGGTTGTGGGCAGCGATGCATTATGCGCTGCCCGGTGGCCGAGCCTAACCGCCGTACGCTCTTGTCGTTAACAAAAGCCGCGTCGTGATTCAGCAGAAATGAAAAACTCCCAGTGGCGATACGGGGGTGGGGGCGTAGATTACGAACACCAGTGATTGCGACCGTCGGATTTGTCAATATTGTGCAAATGTTTTCCGACGTAATATTGCGCAAATGTTTTTGTAATTTTATTGGGGGCATCATTGTACTTCTGCGAAACTGAAAGTCCGGTTAGATTCTTTTTAGTATCTTTCTGTGCTAGGTTTGAAATAGTCTAACCTGAATTATTTGTGAACTGTTTGACACTTAACGGGATATTCTAGCGTGAACTTTCGAAAAAATCAATTTTTTGGATATTCTTAAAGGATATAGTTTTAATAATACATCTCTGGAACCTTACATGCGAACTTCTAACGTTTACTAAGTTATGATTGCTTGAAAAAGACGCGTGGATCCTATATTATTATCGATATACTAAATTTTAAAGGCATTTTTCTCGAAACTATGTTTTTCAAAATGGTGTTCATGGTATCTCAAAAACTATGATACTTTACCAATTGACTCAACAATTTTAAGTACGCGTTTAATACGTGTCTGATTACAACGCCTACTAGAAACAACCAAATATTTAATTTTTGTTTCTATTTTTTAGTCCTTCGAAGAGTTTAACAAAACATGTAAAAATCGATAATCGAATTTCAAAGTATCGCCAGTTTTTTAATTACCGACTTTTTTCTTTTGTTGTAGTATCTGATATAGCCAAATTCATTCTAATTAAGGAACTTTCACGTTCGTTTTTATTTCAAAGCATGCAGTGCCACTAATTTTAACATTTTTTGGTTCCAAAAGATTTTGACTGCAAAAGGTATAATAGTTTCTTTGCAAGAAATTCTCTAACAAAGTTGAAAACACACGCACTTCACACAAGAATACTTTTTCGTTCAACTACTTTGAAGTGTCTCGGTAGATTCGATAAAGTACTTTTTTGATACCTCTGTTGTAGCTTTTAAAAGGGGCTTTGTGTTTCATTGTGTCTCAGACTCTAATTGTGTTTCAGGAAGTCGCTGATGTTTTGATTAGATTGTTTTATTGATTGTTAAACTAACAGAGGAGATGTTCTCCTTAATAATTATCCAGTAATTATCACAGAAGCATATATATTCCTATCTTTCCAAGATACAATATCTATCAGATACGTTGAAGCATCAGTTAACCATACTAATTCTAGAAATCGTACAAGAAGTGATATAAAACTTACACTATTCTATGTACAAAAGTGCACTAAAACAGAGTAACTTTCAAACTACTGAACATTTAACAGATTTATGGTTGTGCCCGAATCACATCCTTATTATTGAAATAGTGGAGCCCCCCCCCTCAATTTTATTATTATTATTTTTTGAAATAATGAAACCACTTTTTCAAGTGGTTGGGTATCTATTGAACGGACAAGAATATTACGAAAGGCTTCGACAACAACTTCGCATGGATAAGGTCACAAAAGCTTTAATCTAGCACTAAGAACTTTGGGATTATATGCAAGTATCAGGCGTATTGTAATAACAACACGCGAAACTTAGAGGACGTTTACACAGGGATAGAGCACAGGCTTGACGCTGGCTCTTAGCAATGCGCTAAAATTATTACCACATCTGGCTCACAGAAAATATACAGGTTCGAATATGCAAAAAGATGTAATAGATAGAAAGCAACTTTCGCGATGAAACACATAACATAATGAATGAAACAGTTTGATCAGCGTGCGAACGACTGTCCAGATATACGGGCGGAAAATTATACAGTTTTGCATAGTTGACATTGTAAAGGGACGTGTTGCTACGGTGTCCGAAACTTTGTGAATACCTTAGTCACTGAATATCTATAGTGATCGCGGTGCCAATATCAGGGTATCTACGAAATGTTTAAAAAGCGGGGTTTTCACGCAGTTAGGTCAATCGATGTTCAGAATTATTTATCGCTACGAACGGATAAAATCAGCAGATAAGATTCGCCGCTAAAATAAGTAATTTCGAGTGTTCGATTAATCCAACACATGGCTACAATTCGCTGTAAACTTATTCGGAAAAGCAGACATCAACGTTACAATTTTAGTCAGCACTACATTATGATCAGTAGCACGTTCATAACAAGCGAACCTCGAAGAATTAATTCGGAATCTAGCGGAAAATGGGGCCGATCAAGTGAACAAATGACAGGTCGATGGATGTAAGAGATTAGCTGGCTTATCTCAACCCGTTCGAAAACGACTGATAAGGTGCTAAAGTCGCTCGGAGTGGGGAGCACGTTATCCTTTTTTTTATATTGACTACAGATCACGACAGCCACACTGCTCCCACTGCCAACATTTCTCGGTGTCACGTCAGGCCTACGGAAAGTTTGCAACCAATTAACTAAAAGTGTGGAATTATTCTTCGAGAGGACACCATAGGATTAAGAGTGACCATGGAACGAATTCGAATAACGTTCCTCGTTCTGGCGGTTCTCGTGGCTGCTGGTGGGATTTACGGTGTCAAAACGAGAGCCAGTGGCGACGTCAACGGTAATGGATCGGAAACAAATTGCAATTACATGTACAAAGTCGGGAATGACACGCAACGACCTTGTATCCTGGCTAATATGGAAATTTCCCTAGAAGCACAATACAAGACGAAGGATGACAAGGTGGGTGCAAGTCCTTGGTCATCAGTATTTTCCATACAGGGGAAACTTGTTCTCCCGGGTGAGAAATATCAGTCTCGTTTGCAGGTTTTACAAATAACGACTTCGTCGACTTTGTCGCTTTAGTTGTGGGTGAAACGACAACGGTACTCTTCCTTGAAATCTTGCATCGATTGGTCTAACAACTACTTTTCAATCGTTTCACTAGTTCGTTAAGTAGATTTGAACATAAAGACATTAAACTACAAGATTGCGCGAAATGATGGATTGCTTTCGTTGGGACAGAAGAAATTCTATTGGAAGCACTTACAGAGATGTAACGCTTGTGTTGAATCGTTAAATTTTACGAGTGAAATTGGTGTTACGAAAATTTAAATGCAAATGTGTACATTTTTGTGAAATCCATGATGGCTGCCAAAGGAGCATACGTGTCTGGACAGTGATTGAGCGCAAGTTCTTCTATCATATTGGTTAAAACGTTAACGCTTAATTCGAAATTAGAGGTCCATCAGGGAGTGGAAAGGGTTTCAATGTCATCGAACATCTTTACATGACGTGTTTAAAATTATTGCAATTTTCAGACAAAAACGGCCCAGTATAATGTTACAAAGGAAACAAAAAATGTGGTAGCGACCGGGACCTGTTCGCCGGTGATGTCTGAACTGGTGTTAACTTGGGACGAGGATAAAAGCCAGAATTCAGTGAAATTCGTGTTGTTCAATAACGAAACCACGTTCTCAGTCGTGCATGTAGCTTTTAACGTTTCTTTGAGTGACGCCGAAGCTGCAGGTTAGTTGTCTGCCTCGTAGTTTAGCTTTTCCGATGCGGTTTTCTCTTCTTGATTCGTGAAAACATTTATGATGCAGTGAATCGAGTGCAGAATTCGATCGACTTGGCCGAAGGGCTATTCAGCGAAAACGTGCAGAATATCTCTGTCTGTACCGACAGTACAGAGATTCCCATCTATAATTCGATCATGACGGTGTCGAAGATCGAGTTGATCGCTTTCAACAGCGACGATAAATACTGCCAGCGAAATAAAAGCGAAAGTTCGTACATACCTGTGTCCAATATTGTCATCTCTATGCAAATGCCATTTTTCATTAATTTGTGGAAATCCAAAAGACAGAATGATTCATTCTGTTGTGTCTGAATAGAATCATCGAGTTCTGTGAAACAAATAATTTTCCTCTTATGTCACGTCGACCACCTTAACCAGAACTTTGATTTTCAGAGCAATGCTCTAAGGGGAAGGTTTTCTCTTACGATATCAGCAAAGAGGGCGATCAGATTTCAAATCTGGCGACGATGTCAATTTCCCTCGAAATACCGTACACACAGAGGAACGGCAAAGTGAGTACCAGCAACAGAGAATAGGAAATAATTAAAAGAACGTTCATCAACACCCTTTGGCACAGGTTCAGCTATACAAAGAGAATTTTACCAATGTTGCTACTGTAGATAATACGCAATGCAGTAACGAAGGACACTCTTGCAGCGCGGACCTGCATTGGTACAGCGATGGGAAAAAATTCACATTATCGATCACAGTAAGCATACATGATAACGACATTGCCTACATCGACAAAGCGACTGTGGATATCTTGATAGACAAAGAACGTCTTACAGATTCAAAAGGTGCGTCCATCGAGTGTTCTATTCCCGCAAAAAAGCAATAAGTACACTGCGGATTTGGTGCATTCATAATAAATACGTTCAACTTGAAAAAAGTAGAATGACTCAAAGAATTCGGTAAAAGTATTCGTGAAAGAAAGAAATTCCTAAATGGTTCTTACTTTTCCGCATTAAAATCCGCAGTCCCATTACCATTAGGATTAGTTTCATGAATTAATTATCTCTGGTAATCACAGACAATATAAGACGCAAGGGAACCATGAACTTACGTTTGTTCCCTGTGGCCATTGGGAACGGACTTTACAGCTGCAAGACTGGAAACATACTGCGCTTTGGCGACGTCAAGATGACGATAACGAACGTCTTTTTCGCGCCGTTCCACACCGGGAACGGTTTCAACGGTAAAAATGGATTTTCATCCTTACAATTAGCACGCCAAGGTGGTGTCAGTCAGGGATCGTTCATCATTGCTTGTCCTGAAACAAGAGAAAACGATCATGTTAGCTTGATTCTTCGGAGATAAATAGGGTTCATATCAACCGTTTATTCTTTTATATTACTAAGGACATAGGAATAATCATAATCGTAGGATTTGTTTGAAAAGAAGCAAAGTTTAGAGTCTCCCGCTGTCAAAAACGCCTAACAACTCACTATCGCATGCTTTAAGCGCATCCTTCGTTAAATTCATTCATTAATGTTCTCAACGGGGATGTATTTCCATTAATGGTAAAGACAAAAGCGACAATAAAGTTCGTCAAATACAAGACAAATTTTGATATGATATGAAAATTTAAGGAAAGGTTCAATCGTTCCAAAGTGTCCAGAACATTTTTGTCATCTGTAACGAGCGCCTGTTTCGTAATTTTCAGTGACAATGTGCGATCCGGAAACTACATTCAGTGCACGAATGTTCAATTACGCAGTAAAGGATGCAAATTCAGGCGTGCCGTGCATCCTAGGGAACATGACGATCGCGTTGGATGTGACTTACAAAAAGAAAGACAAGACGGTACGTGTTGGATGGTCGTGGCTTGCAACGTTTTCAAATATTGTTAATGGTTTCTTCCGTGGCAGAAGGGTACGAAAACCATAAAGGTCCCATCGAACGCAACGACGATTGGCAGTTGCGACAAGTATATGCCTTACATGGATTTGTCATGGCCGGCGTCCATGAATGAGACCAAGAAAGACAAAATGAATAGACTTCTTATTAGCTTTTACCAGACGTCAGGGCTATACTACGCGGACTACGCCAAAGCCGACATCTACAACGATCAGGAGATATTCCAGGATACCGTCGGTATGTAGTCTCGATTCTTGATGAAAAGACTTCATCAGAGAATTCGGATTTTTCGTTGGCGCCAGGTGGTATGCAGCTTGTAATTTTATATAACGTTACAGAAACCGACGAGTGGTTGCATTCGATTTCTTCAACGACGCTTAGACTACTCACTAATAACATGGTAAACGGATATTACAAGTGTTCGGACCCTGTCAACGCAACGATAAACGATTCGACGAAGATAAAGATAAGCGATGTCATGTTGATGGCGTTCAACGATCAAGAGGACATTAGTATAAAAGTTATGGGTAAGTGTAAGGTAGATGTCCTAGTTTCCGTGCTCGTTCCAATTTTCGTGACCCCGGATTAAAAACGTATAAGAAAAGGAAAGTTCTATATATAAATTGATGGTCTATATTTGTTGAGGAGGTTATTTGAAAGAAAAGGGTGTAGAATGAAACACACGTAAATAACTATATTTAAGAAAGAAGTGAAGGAGGCACGGTGAACAAGCGCACGGTATGAGAGTACGGAAGAACCTGAGAAGTCTGGGCGACAATGCATGTTTTTATACCTGTGTACTCTCAGGTATATGGAAACCCTGCATTTCAGGATGTGGAGGCTTTCCAAGACTCAAGAAATTACTTCTTGCTTCAACAATATTAATTATATATATATTAATATAAATAATATAAATAAATATATAAATTAATTAATAATTAAAAAAATATAAATTAATATAAATATAATATATATATATATATATATTAATTTATATTAATTTAATAATATATTGTTTTGTTATGTTTACCTATATCAACATGTCTGCCCTAGTGGGATCTGTAAAAATGCAGCACCCTACATTAAATCGCTATGCCGACACACGTGACGACTATTTTATTTATTCGTATTGCATATCTACACTAGGTTATCGGATAGAAATTTTTACCAATCAAGTCTTAAATGTAACTATCGTTTCAGAGTCTGATTGCCATGACAATAAAACAGATACGGATAAAAACAACGGAACTACTAGACCAAAAGGGTACAACTACTATGTCTTTCCAAAGAATAGCAAGATCCCTTGTACTTTAGCGAACATGGATATCACTCTGAACATACACTACGCGACAAAAACTGGGGTAAGTAAAATCCGGATCCTGCGAGAGAGATTATTGCGATCTAAACGATCGTTGTTCCGGTTTCAGACTAATTCAATAGCGGTGCCAGTGCCCACTAATGCAACATCCGACGGAATTTGCGGTAGCGAGGAATCCACATTGAATATCGTGTGGTCGAACGAGAAGGGTCATCCACATATGGTGAACTTGACGTTCAATAAGGAGAGTTCGAGATTCTTCCTTCATCAGATCGATATGTCTATCGACACGACAAGTTTCCCTGAAACGAAAGGTGGGAACATTCACGCAACTTATAGTTTCCTTTAATTTTCCATCTACCTTTCCAAGATCTGGATAGTTACGAGCAAGATTTTGTTTTGACAACAGAGTTAGTTTACGAATTACGGGCCGATAAATGGGGTGGAAAATTATAGCCTGATTGAGATGTCTNGGTATGAGAGTACGGAAGAACCTGAGAAGTCTGGGCGACAATGCATGTTTTTATACCTGTGTACTCTCAGGTATATGGAAACCCTGCATTTCAGGATGTGGAGGCTTTCCAAGACTCAAGAAATTACTTCTTGCTTCAACAATATTAATTATATATATATTAATATAAATAATATAAATAAATATATAAATTAATTAATAATTAAAAAAATATAAATTAATATAAATATAATATATATATATATATATATTAATTTATATTAATTTAATAATATATTGTTTTGTTATGTTTACCTATATCAACATGTCTGCCCTAGTGGGATCTGTAAAAATGCAGCACCCTACATTAAATCGCTATGCCGACACACGTGACGACTATTTTATTTATTCGTATTGCATATCTACACTAGGTTATCGGATAGAAATTTTTACCAATCAAGTCTTAAATGTAACTATCGTTTCAGAGTCTGATTGCCATGACAATAAAACAGATACGGATAAAAACAACGGAACTACTAGACCAAAAGGGTACAACTACTATGTCTTTCCAAAGAATAGCAAGATCCCTTGTACTTTAGCGAACATGGATATCACTCTGAACATACACTACGCGACAAAAACTGGGGTAAGTAAAATCCGGATCCTGCGAGAGAGATTATTGCGATCTAAACGATCGTTGTTCCGGTTTCAGACTAATTCAATAGCGGTGCCAGTGCCCACTAATGCAACATCCGACGGAATTTGCGGTAGCGAGGAATCCACATTGAATATCGTGTGGTCGAACGAGAAGGGTCATCCACATATGGTGAACTTGACGTTCAATAAGGAGAGTTCGAGATTCTTCCTTCATCAGATCGATATGTCTATCGACACGACAAGTTTCCCTGAAACGAAAGGTGGGAACATTCACGCAACTTATAGTTTCCTTTAATTTTCCATCTACCTTTCCAAGATCTGGATAGTTACGAGCAAGATTTTGTTTTGACAACAGAGTTAGTTTACGAATTACGGGCCGATAAATGGGGTGGAAAATTATAGCCTGATTGAGATGTCTCAATGAACAATTAATTTTACGTAGGAGAGAAGTTCAAGGGACAGAAAGATAATCTAATGCTCTTTTCTGCTGATGCGTCAAATATTTACAATTGCGAATCGCAAGAGGAAGTGGCGGGCGACCAGTTCACCGCAACCTTCAGCAAGGTGACCTTGATCGTCTTCAACGAGGATGGGGACTACACGAAGAGATCAGGTGAGCTTTCGTCGGTCGAACAGAAGTGTTCTACAACGATCTTTATACAGGGTGTCCCAGATTTTAATGTTCAAACTTTGTCAGTATATTCTATGGCACAAAGTAAGAAAAAAATGTTATGTAAACATAGGTCATATAGAGCTTTATTAAGAAGTTATAACAAAAATTCAGAATAGCAATAGTAATCAACTAAAAAAAAAATAAAAAATAAAAAAAAATCTTCGATCGATGTCAATCATGTATTGTCAACAACGGTTATTAATACATTTCGAAATGTATTAATAAACACAGCTTACACATAAACACACGGCATGTGCTGATCTATTCAAGCCAATGCTCGCACTAGTCTGAATTTTTGTTATAACTTCTTAATAAAGCTCTATATGACCTATGTTTACATAACATTTTTTTCTTACTTTGCGCCATACAATAAACTAATAAAGATTGAACATTAAAACCTGGGACATCCTGTATATTCTTCGTGCTATTTTTATATTTTGAGGGAAGATCTACCCCCATGGTGCTTGCGTTTATGTAGCATCTTCGCGAAAGATTAGGTTCATTTCTTAAAAATTAATTTCGATGTTCTAGAGGAAAATTGCAGTACAGCGAATGTCGGGGCAATCGTTGGTGGTATCATAGGAGGCTTCTTGATCGTCGGCGTAATTGGGTACGCGGTATACAGATACAGGAAGAACAGATACTATTAGAAAAGGTGGGTGAAAGGTGCTGTGTCGCTGAAGTCCTAGAATCTTAGAGATTGAAATCATTTTAATTTTGTTATTTCACTAATACCTCGCAGTAGAATGTTGTGCGTATAAACTCCGTAGAAAGTGTTAACACAATGATGATTTTTTAGAAGATGTGAGAATAAATTATTTACAATATCTGTCTTCGTCGTTTTAATGATTGACAAGAATATAATAGAAATTCTTGACAGGTAATCAAGTAGAATGCAACTAAGCGAGAAATATTCGACCGTGAATCCCAACATGAAAGTCAATTTTGTGATACAGAATCACCAGCTTCTTGAAATCTACTGCGATTGTTCAAGAAATGAAGATGCGCAGACTGACATTCATTGACAATCCTACCTACGTTTCATATAAAGATAATTACAGCAGAATCTCTGCTTTTTAATGTATCATTCAAGCGAATGCAAAGACAACAAAAAATTTCAATATCGCTGGATGAAAGAATACTGTACATACTAACAAGACGAATAAATATATATTGATATAAAACAGCATATTTATCGTTAATATTTATAAATATTTTTTTATAAATAACAGTATAAATAACAGTCTAGATAGCAATACCCCCTTAACATAGTGAACGTTACGTGCGCGCAAAAATTAGATATCTCAGCCGACCCGTGTATGTCACGGACATGAACATTAAGTGGTTAAACAAAATAGATTTTTCTGGCACAACTTGGAGAACAGTTTCCAAAATTCATGTATCATTGCAATGATGAACTAACCTTAAGCAAAACAGTACTGGGCAATAACAATGACACAAAGGAAATGAACATGCGATTAAAGAAACAAGAAGTAGAAATTTCTGATAACGCGATATGATATTTCGGATAAGCGTGTAAAACATACATGCACATACGAAACATACAATTCGACAGAAATACGAGATTAGGAATGCTTTATCTTTTACGCGGAATGTCCAATTAATCATTGAGAAGGTTCAAAGTGGGGCAGTTTCTTATATCACCATTCTGTACCGAATATCTGTCATTTGTGTTCCGCCATTCCCATTCATCGCAAGAACAGCGCAAGGAAGAAGAGAATGATATGCTTCCGGTTCTTAATTCTGTCGACACTATTATTCGCAGGTAAGTCAAGCAGCATTATCAAGTTTATCAACAGTGTTAAAACGAGTGACTTTAACGTGTACCAAAACACTACAAAATTCCCAGTTCTTCATTGCTACGCTAATCAGGAACCTAGGAAAAATGCACCAAAAATTCCGTGTACCTTAGCTAACATGTCCATCACCATTGTCGTCAATTACACGATGAGCAACGACAAGGTACCGAATGAATTTCTATTTTGTTTGCTTAAACTTTCGACAGCAATAACGAAACAGAGAAGTAAAAATCCTTTCAATCGTTATAGCAATTTGTAGTAGCTTTTGTCTTAGGGAGTGCCTTAAAATTTCGTGAAATGGCAGGTAGTAACAAAGAATGTGACAGTTCCGAGCAACGCTGTGGCAGAATGCACTTGTGAGCCAATGATATCGACATTATCGTTAGTTTGGGGGACCAAGGTGAACGAAGAGGTTCAGCAGAACGTCGTTAAATTTTTGCTGTTCAAGGACCGCACCAATTTCTCGGTGTTCTCCGCCGACATCGATATTTTCTTGGACCCGATGAACTTTCCCGATGCTGCAGGTATTTCACTTTAAATTGATAAAAACGATAGTTTCATTACTTTGAAGATAGTTTCAGTTGGTTTCAACAGCCTCTTGGCACTTATAGCCTTGTAGCCTGGTCGTGACAGAGACTTGTGCAATTCTTTAGACCTAACATCTTCTTTTTATACCTAACAGTAGACCAAATTAACTAAAACCTATAATAAATCAGCTGTGAAACTATATGCAGCCTTCAAGAACAATATTTGGAGCTAGTCACCCTTTCCGACGATTAATTTGATGATAAGGCTCAATACTTTTGGATCATTTCTGAAGCTAAATTAATGTTTATTGATGTAAGCTTAATGTGCCATTTTAACAAGTTAACATCACAGATAAACGACGGATCACGAAGACCAAGATTGACCGTGGCTTGTTTCACGCGCCAATTGAGGATGGCCGGTACAAATTTTCCAAGGAGGAGAGGATTAAGGTCGATAACGACACTGCCCTAATCCTCACGGACGTTTCGTTGATCGTGTTCAACACCATAAAAAATGATACTCAGTGGAATGGTAACATAACATCCAACACTTAATTCCCCGAACGTGATTTATCTTGTATGACAGTGTAGAATACTTAACAACAAGTAATTTCCGTTCTGATTGAACGTTCCCATTATTATCAGTACACCTGCATTCGATAATTTATCAGCGGAAGTTGATATGATATACTTGGATAAAAACAATTCGTACCAAAACAAGTTCTGGCTAAAAGGAAATCTTATTTTTTGTAAAGATCTCAGACTTACGGTCGGAACGAACTGCACTTGGCAGAAACAGAGCATATTTAAAGACTGCTCTGAAATATGCTGCAACCGATTTTGATGAAATTTCGGCACTTAGTATTGTCTAGAAAACTAGTCCTAACATCTCAACAAAACTAAACTCATTTAGCCCAATCTTTAAAACTGATTTCCTTTTAAGAGATGTCCGCATACTATATTTGTGTACGACTGTATGTTCTGTAGACGACATTTGGCACGAAACACCACGAATTCATGGCTTCTTCGAGAGTGATTTCAATTATGTAGTGAGAGACCCAATATCAAACATCCCTTGCTCTTTGGCAAGCATCACAATTTCCGTGAATTTAAGATATAAAATAACGAATAATTCGGTAAGTGAAGGATAGGATACCAGGTAAAATTTGAGCGCGTCAAACAAAATTTCAGCGACGAGTTTGAAATATGGAAGGAAATCTGCATTACTCATTCTAGGAGATACAAACGACATTTGCAATGCCAAAAAACGCAAACGTTAGTGGAAATTGCGATCTTAGAAATCCCATGATGACATTGTTGTGGGTGCCAAAAAATGCAGTAATTGACATGGAGAGTCCTAACGGAATGCAGAATTCGATCTCGTTGATATTTAGCGAAGATGACTTGAAATTTCACGTTAGCATGATTTCGGTGGACTTTTATCTGGATGAGAAGAATTTCCCGGATGTGTCAGGTAAGGGAGCAAACAACAATGGAACTATGATACACGAAAATTGCCTATAATAAGCAAGCAAATTGAAGGAGTAATTAACGTCCTTATTTTACTAATATTGTCTTTGATCCTATTTAATTTTTGAGGTCAATGTATCGAAAAGAAATTTGTACAAATGAACATAATGAAAGTTACAAATTAACATATGCTTTTATTTAAAGATTCAATGCAACGGAGATATAAGGTGGACATTAACAATCTGAACTTGTTCGACGCTGACATTATGGATGTATACAAGTGCGATTCTGAAACTGTCGTAGAATTCCATGAGGTCCAATTAACGTTCAGTGACGTCGCAATAACTGCGTTCAACACTTTTTGGGATGGTAAGTACATTTCTTTGTCGCATGTCAGAACACCCAAACAAATATTCAGTTAAAATCGCTTACTTTCAGTTTTATAGACAGAGCTGGGGATTATTTATAGAGAATATATTTGAAATCCTATTTGAAATAATATGATTTAGTAACATCAAAATATTTGATTTGAATGATAAATTAAGTAAATATAATATACCGATCTATCGCACAAATATTTTCAGTGTTTTTCAAATAAAATACTATTTGAAATATTATCTTAAAAATTGTTTACGAATAAAATATTTTATTCTCATAAGCATATTCTTGCGAACAAATAAAATAATTTATTTTCAGGAACGCATGCATGCATATCTATTTTCTATTTGCCATTTAAAATAGTCTTTTACCCAGCTCCGGTTACAGTACTGATTATTAAAATATAATGTCTAGACATTCGCTCAATTTTTAATATGTACAGTTCTCAGAATACGTGTGCTGCAAATTAAGAATTCTCAATTGTTCTACACAGTCCGATGTATCACCTGTTAGGCAGCATGTGCTACAGTGTGTCACAAAGAAATGAATTTGTTACAGGATGTACAAAATTTCTGCTGGTGTATTAATAATGTTATTAACATTTCAGAAAATTGGACTATTCCTCCAATCCCTTCATCCGAGAGGGGGATACCATTCTGCTTTTATTTTCCCATAAGCGCGTTAACAGGTTTCACAATAGGAATCGGGATTCGTTCCATCAGAGAAATGATTGCAAAAAGAAGGGGAAAACAAGGGCCCGGATACGAGATCCCCACTTGATAGCCGATCGACTAGGTCACACAGCTACGGAACTCTTCTATTTTCCCAATCTCCGTACATATTGTTCTTGGGAGGTTCTCTGATCCCTACAGTACTTAGGTAGAAAAAGAAATATTCGAGGTCACCGAATGAAAATTTTCATTTTTAGATTTTGTTTAAACTGATACACTGTGATCGATGAAAAGTTGATAACTATTTTTATTACGACAATGAGTTTCTTGCGTGGAGCGAAAATTAAGATTTTTCTGAAAACACTCGATGTGGGCACCACGCACGGTTTCTTGCGATAAGATTACGCATGACAGTGGAAAAGTATGCTGATTATCCCGTTTTAGGAAACAATTCGATGGTTCGGCCACCCTGCGCGTCTCGTCACGGTTACGCCCACCCCAATTATCTCGTTACTCTGCGAACTCCGATACGCGTTACGTGTCACGTGCAGCCCGTGTGAACCGGAAATCGATTTGAATGCGAAAGCGTGCTACACGACGCCGAACGGCACTCGAGAATTACCATAATTGAGCCGTTTATTTTGAAAGTGGCCTAACTCCATTTATTTTAAGATCCAGAAGTTAGAGGATTTTACGTTTTAATAAATATTAAAATATTAGTCACTGTTAACGTGATAGTATAATGTTTTTGTGTTTCTAAGGGTTATTGCGCTCTAGACACTTTGTGAGATGAAATTATATATAATGGGGAAATGTGTAAATATTAACACTATGCCGTCCGCAGATCTTAGATATGATTCTTTTGTTTGACGCCGGCATGATAGCTTGGAAATTTTAGATCTTAAAAAAAATTTCGAAGATGGCGGTAATATAAATTCCTAAAATTAAGATATGTCATCCAAGAATTTTCGTACGTAATTCTTAGTTTAGTTTAGTTTGCTGCCTTTTAACACCGAAGAAATATAGTTCAAATGTTATATCAGTTTTTTAAAATGGCATCAAAGTGGTGTCACCGGCATACAACAGATAGTTTTTGCATGGCANATAATTGAGCCGTTTATTTTGAAAGTGGCCTAACTCCATTTATTTTAAGATCCAGAAGTTAGAGGATTTTACGTTTTAATAAATATTAAAATATTAGTCACTGTTAACGTGATAGTATAATGTTTTTGTGTTTCTAAGGGTTATTGCGCTCTAGACACTTTGTGAGATGAAATTATATATAATGGGGAAATGTGTAAATATTAACACTATGCCGTCCGCAGATCTTAGATATGATTCTTTTGTTTGACGCCGGCATGATAGCTTGGAAATTTTAGATCTTAAAAAAAATTTCGAAGATGGCGGTAATATAAATTCCTAAAATTAAGATATGTCATCCAAGAATTTTCGTACGTAATTCTTAGTTTAGTTTAGTTTGCTGCCTTTTAACACCGAAGAAATATAGTTCAAATGTTATATCAGTTTTTTAAAATGGCATCAAAGTGGTGTCACCGGCATACAACAGATAGTTTTTGCATGGCATCAGCGTGGTACCACCGGACGGCATAGTGTTAACATAGTTAACTCGATGCTTATGGAAAACGGACATAGACCACTTTCAAAATAAACGGCTCAATTAGCCTGCGAAATAATCTGCATCCAAAGCGTGTATAGCAAATTTCATTTGGTTTACAATTTTCTGGAAAAATTGTATTCTGTTGCAGCGAATTTTTCTGTAAAACTTAAGACACTTCTCCTGAAAATTAACTAGAAAATTCCTTTCGCAAACAAGAGATTGAATGGTGCAAATAATTCTGTGCTGGACGGGCAAAAATTTGGTGAGTCGAATTTTGGTCAAAATGATAGAAATCGTCAGTTTTAAGAGAAGATATTTCTTCGTAGAATGTGATGTGCATTTCGTAAGTCCAATAGGACGAAACATATAAAAGGTTCACACAAAGAAGAGAAAGGTCAATTTTAACAATTTTTTTCATATTTGGTTTTATCATATTTTCGCATGGTTCTGTACCTGCTCTTTATTGCTGGCTGTATTGTATAGCAACTTAAAGTTGACAGTGATGTAATTAGAGATTTCAATGTACAAAGGATGAATAAATGAATTTCTTAGAATTTGTTTGGATCTCTTGGAAGCTGTGGAGTTGTGAAATTATAGTTTGATAAATATTTGCATCTAAACTGCAACATCTGATTTTACACTGCACTTTTAAGGGGAGATACCGATCTAGAACTTTCTAAAAAATCACGAGAAACTTGAAAGGGGTTTTTCTCAAGACGACATTTGGGCACTAATTGATCAGTTTAAATGAATTTTTTTCAATTAAAGAATATACTTTCCCGCAGACAGTGAATCTTTAATATCTCCAGTTTTTGCTTCGCTCATTTTTAAGAAATGTAAAATTCTGGCAAATTGATAACAAAATTTCACTCTAAAATGCCAGGGAATGATTAAAGAAAAAGTATATTTTATACTTTCATAGGTACCTTGTAAATATCATGTAGTTTAAGAATATTTTGATCTTTTAGATTCGGATTTATAGTCGAGGTGCTACGTAGAATAAGATTATACAATTTCCTGTATGCTCAAAAAACACCATAAAATGTCGAAAACCCTAGATTATCATTTTATTTACTTTTGTTAGAAAAATATCCTAAAAATAACCTTCTTTGTAGCCTCCTAGACCGAAATCTCCTCTTAAACATGCTTTCCTACACAATTAATTATTCTGATTGGCCTTTAACCAGACTCTTGCGTTAGTCCACCGAAGAATTGGTCAGAATTTTGGAAAAAGGGTGATGTTTATGTTATTCAATATAATAGTAGAGTAAGTCCGGGAGAGTTCGGCTAGCGGGAGTGACTGACAAATGTAAATATCTCGAAGGGACGACGCCATATGGTGTTGTGCCAGAAGTCAAAAAACAATTTAATAAATTGATTGTTGATTACGTATTGCAATTGCTGCGAAACCGTATCCTGATCTTGCAAATTGCGTTTAAAGCTTTAGACGGATCTGAAAGTTCTTTTTTTTCCTAAACTAATGGTTTTTTAACATAAATAGGTTAATACTCTTTTGTAAAGAATATTTAGATGCATTTACTGATATAATAAAAAATATATGATTTCATTTTAAAAAATGTTAATGATCTTCATATGTCTCCTTCATACGTCCATTTACCAGAAACCTAGTATCATCAGAATATGCCCCTCTCGAAACCATTCAATTTCATCTGAAACGTTTTTCGCCACGCGTAATAATAATGACATAAAACTAGATGGCAAAATGTGGTGTCCTACCCTATACATATATTTTATTCTATTAATTAATTTTATTCTATTATATATATAACAGAATAGAGAATAAAATTCTAAAAAAGCTACAGCTTTTTTTGAAAAAGTGGTCTGACTCTCCCGGACTTACCCTAGATTGCCGCGAGCCTAGATCCTAATCTAGAAATAGACAACAAACCCGTTTCCCAGTGCACAGCCGGAAAATGATCGTATTTCATGGCGATTTCGACCGAGGCGGTATCGAACGCCGGACACACCCCCTATTTAGCACCTGGATATCATATCGCGGATGGCAGATGCCGCAATATAATCCTCGATTATCAGCGTTAATTACCGCACAGGAATGAACATGATCGTTGGTCGGAATTCCGCGGGGAATAGAATTCCTACTCTCCGTGGGAACAAAGCGAGTACTAGAAAAAAAGAAATAATCTAATTCCCCAGCTGTTCTGCCGCACACCCTCGCAAATGTATCGACACCGATTTCCTGTTCCCACGTTTAGCAATTAGTGTTGGATCATTGACTAGATTATGGTAGTCGGGGCTTCTGCAATTTTTAGAGAATTTTTAGAAAATGCTGGATCGTTGTTGTTTTCAGCTTTAAGTAATTTCAAGAATTTTAATCTTTAATATTAAGAATTTTAAGAATTTCCTATGCCTATTAATTAACCCTACAATTGGATAAGTACACTATCTGCCAGTCAAATAAAAACGTGAACATAATCGAATCCCTTTTATGTAACTACAAAAACATTTTACCGTAGGAAGGAACAGAATAAACCAAATTGTAAAGTAACATTTACCTTTACATGGACAATTTAATGAGTCAAATATTCATAAGTTTCGATCATCATTTTGACGAAAGCTTCAATGACTAGAGTTGAATGAAAGTGTTCAAATTGTTCAATGCTCCAATTAATGTGAATAACCATCTGTCAGATATCGCTGAGGAAAACATCATGTGGGATTTTGTACAAATAAACTAATTGATTGTAATATTTCAATCCAACATTTATAATTTGACTAAGTACTTAATATTTTTAATTG